ATATCGAATAATAACATAAAATCAACCATAACACTTAACAGGTGACAACAACAAGCACCATGACCATTGGGCACAACCCAAGCACATCTATGAGGACTCAAGCGTCCACACCATACTCATTTGGGAAACAGGTTCATTAAATTGAGTACATTAACATAATTCAAATTCATTCTTTTTACTATCCTGGTGTCGGAACGTGACACTCCGATCCCCTAATACTACGTGTCGGTTCGTGACACCCGATCCCCTAATACTATGTGTCGGTTCGTGACACCCGATCCATTAATACTACGTGTCGGTTCGTGACACCCGATCCCCTAACCTCATTCCTTTAGATCATCAAGTCTTCTTTTATACCAAGGCATCATCATTAACAGAGAGGGTTTTAGTTTTAAGCTTCACAACCTTATCTTTTCAACCCATTACAATTACATAATCACATCATACAAGCATACAATTAAGCATATAGAAGACTTTACAATACTACCCAATACATATCATTCGCTATTAGGAGTTTACTATGAAATAGCATAAAAACCATAACCTACCTCCACCGAAGAATTCGCGATCAAGCAAGCTATCCCCCAAAACCTTTGCTTTCCTCTTCGTTTTTCTCTTCTCTCGATCGTTCTCCCTCTCATTCTCTTTTACCCTAATTACCATATAATTAAGTATAAAAGGTGACCAAAGTAACCCACTAATTAATTCAAGGTTATCTCCTTTAACCCTCAAGTAATTGAATTATTAACATTCAACCACTAACTTTATAATTATAAGCAGGATTAGTCCAAAACGCCCCATAAAACATTTAACAGAAATCCGACCCAGTCAGGGTTACGCAGCCTGTGACGGCCCGTCATGCCTGCGACGGTCCGTCCTGCTGTTTCCGTCACAAAGTTCAGAGAGTTGATTTTATTTAAGACTCTGTGACGGTCCGTCGTGCCTACGACGGTCCGTCCTGCCATGTCGTTACGAAGTTCAAAGAGTTGTTCTTAGTACCCAAATTTCCAGAATCTAAGTGTTTTGGAGCGAGACCCCCTCGACGGTCCGTCGTGCCCATGACGGTCCGTCGTGGGATCCGTCGACCCAGACAGTTATTACCAGAATAAACTCTACTGCTCAAAACGACCAAACGGGTCGTTACATTTTCTAATCAAAGTCTCATACAAGTGCGTTAATGTCTCTTAATTAATTTATTAGGCGAATAATTTATAGTAATAAGTTAGCAGAGATGATACAAAAGATTTTGGATGCATTAATATTATCTTAGTGTTTAGCTCAAATATGAGCTTTAAGATAAATTTCATACAAAAACACTAAATTAGCACTCTAATTGGATTCAATATTACCTTAGGGGTTAGCTTAAATATGAGATAAACTTGAAATAAAAATATTTGAATTAACACTCTAGCTAGATTTGAACTCAGGTCTTGTTAGTGGATCCTTTAGCTTTTAAAGGCAACATCATAACAATCATATGTTCTTCACGGGTGTACTGTTAATTATATTCTAATTTTTATCAGTTTTTCAAGATAATTATATAAGTATACACATGATTTTTTTCGAAGTTAACGAATGCAACATCCATACCTATAAGTAGGAATATTCACGGGTCGATTTGGATTGGTTATTTGTCAAAATTAAAATCAAACCAACTTAATCGGTTTTAAAATTATCAAAATCATATATAGTATATATTTATCAATTTGGTTGTTATCGATTTTGCTTCGATTAGATTTGGTTATTCGATTATTAACAATAGGAAAAAAATATTCCATTCAAAACGAGAAAAAAGTGATAACAATCCATTTAAAATGGAATAATGACGGACATTACATAACTTTCAATCATTGAATATACGTGAATAAAACTTCAAATTCATTATTTTGGCAAAGAGAAAGTGATATTTTCAATCTTATAAAGAATTGTCATAAACACACTGATACACATAAAACCAATAAAATAAATATTCTCATATTGGATATTTTTCTTTCAAAATAAATTATAAATTAAATTTTGATTAAAAGGCATATAAGATATTTAAAATTGTTTATAAAAAAATTATTATGTATGTATATTACAAAAATATTATATATGATTTATCGATTTCGTTGTCTCTTCGTTTGTTTCTAACAAAACCATAACCAACCAATATACTATCAATTTATAAAAATTTACAACCAAACTACACGGAAGCCAAATAAAATTTGATTTGTATAATCAATTTGGTTCAGTTTTTCGATTTTAACCAATTTTTATCCGAATCGTAAACCCCGTAAAAGCACACTAAACAATAGCGAAATGTAATTCTTTTTAATTTTTAAAAAAATGTCCACATTTTACATAAAATAGTCATTCTCTAGATTTCTCAATATTCAAAATTTTGAAATCAATTAAAAGATTTATTATTATATATTTCCTTATTTGATTTAACTAAGTCCTAATTTTTAAAAATTGAATAATTTTAAAGACTTCTTCTCAGATTTTGCTCTGTGACACTAACTTCTCTCTTGGTATAAAATATTACACTTAGCTTCCTACTTTTGATTTAATTGTAACAATTCTTCCTTCTAGTTGTTATTATAATTAATATCGGGAAAAAAATCATATTAGCTTCCTTCTTTTGATTTATTTGTAACAATTCTTCCTTCTATTGTTATTAATGTCGAAAAAAAATCATAATTTGAGTAATTTGCCCTTTGACAAGATAGTTTTCCATTTACGTAGTTATTTTTTTTATAAATATCATTTACTATTTTTCATTTTTATTTTGCTTTTTTTTCCCCCATTAATTAAATTAATTAATTGATAATGGTTAGTAAAAATATAAGGAAATGTAAACATGTTCCAAGTTCCAGCCGTGTACTACTGTTGTTTCTTCTTTTCATATGTATATACGGTTTCTTTAAACGCACTCTCTCCGTTTCAAAAAGAATTTCCCTATTTTTTTTTAGTTTGATTAAAAAAGAATGACCTCTTTCCTTTTTTGACAACACTTTGACTTTAACTTTTAACGTGACATGTTTAAGACCACAAGATTAAAAGACATTTTGATACATTTGACATAACTTTAATTTAGAATCACAAGATTAAAAAGTCTTTCTTTCTTTTCTTAAACTCCGTTCCAAGTTAAACTAGACCGTTCTTTTTTAAACGGAGAGTAATTCATTCATAATTCAAATATAACCAAAATTTATTTATTTCTATTTTTTTTTGTTTTATTTGAGTTTCCATGTATCATTCACAAAATTGTAATTCAATCAAATTTTAAAACAAATTCATTTTGTTTCTTCCAATATTCTAGCGTAATTGGCCAAGTTAAGAGTTATTAGAGGTCTCACAAAATTACTTTACATTAAAGACTCAAAATTTGTATATATGGTGAAATAAAAAAGATTGTGTTATTTTCATTTAATGCACAAGATTGAAACATCACCTGGACATTGCATATATATTTTTGCCTAAAATTTAAATTCGATTAAGAAATTAATTAAGTCAAAGACAGAAAAAACTTATACAAACATATAGAATGTAGTGATGTGGCAGTTAGTTAGGAGTGAGTAACTAACTTATGATTAGTTAGTAAGCATGAAATGTGTGAACAATTAGTTAGCTAACTAACTTTTGTATATGTAGTTTTAGCATTGTATATAAAGTGGTTGTAGTTCATTACAGTATTTTAGTTTTCAATAATGAAAAAAATCAGTTCTTCTTCTCTTAAACTGTTTCTAGATTGATCTCCATTTCCAGCTCTAAATCCATGGTGTAGATCCATGGTAGCTGAAGTTTACATGGTATCAGAGCATACGATATACTGTTTATACTTTCTACTTCCGCAAAATATCTATGAAGTTTCGCAATTTCGATTGATATCTCATCCTCTTTTCTTCTTGATCTACACATTACAAACTACAGTGAATGAGACCCAAGAGACTATTCACCAAACCATTTTTGTTTATACTCCTCAACAGAATGGAGTGGTGGAAAGGCGACATCGATATATACTTGAAATGGCTAGGGCTTTAAGGTTCGAAGCAGCTGTTCCTATATCATTTTGGGGTGATTGTGTTCTTACAGCTGTTCACATAATAAACAGGATACCTTCCTCTGTGCTTGGAAATAAATCCCCGTATGAAATATATTTTCATACCTCCCCTTCACTTGATAATCTTAGGGTGTTTGGGTGCTTAGCCTATGCTGTTAATGTCCATAGGAGGGACAAGTTTGTTGCTCGAGCTTTACCAACTGTGTTCATGGGATATTCAGCTACTAAGAAGGGTCACAAACTCTATGATATGCATTCCAAGAGGCTATTTTATAACAGGGATGTTGTTTTTCATGAGTCTATTTTTCCTTTCAAACAAATGACTGTCAGTAAAGATCCCATGTTTCCTGTTCTAGATTTTCTTACTGATTTTCCACCCGTACCTAATCTTTTGCCAACAACTACCACTCTTATTCCTTCACCTGCAGATCCTCTTGTTTCTTTGCCTGCAGATGCTTCTGTTCAACCACTTTTCATACCTTTGAGACAATCTCAAAGACAGAAAATTCCCTCAAAATGGTTCACTGACTATGTAGTTAACAATTGTGCTTATCCTATGTCTCATTATCTATGCTATGATTCATTATCCCCTGCTTATGCTGAGTGTTTAACTGCTCACACCTCTGACATAGAGCGTCAGACTTACCATGAGGCCATCAAAGATGAAAGATGGATTTTTGCTATGCAGCAAGAAATAACTGCTCTTGAGGATAATGGTACTTGGGACATAGTGGATTTACCTCCTGGCAAGCATGTCATAGGTTGCAAAAGGGTTTTCAAGATTAAGTATCAGGCTAATGGAAAGGTTGAAAGATTCAAAGCCAGATTGGTTGCCAAAGGTTTTAGCCAAAAAGAGGACATCGATTACCAAGACACTTTTTCTACGGTTGCTAAGATGGTGACGGTGAGGTCTGTTCTTGCAATTGCACCATCTAGACACTGAAATATCTTTCAAATGGACGTGTACAATGCCTTTCTTCAGGGCGACTTAGTAGTGAAAGTTTATATGCAGATTTATGGTTTCACCGAGGTTCTATCCAAAAGGTTTGTAAGGTAAAGAAATCACTATATGGCTTAAAACAAGCCTCCCGACAATGGAATTTGAAACTCACCAGTGTCCTGCATGATTTGGGATTTATTCAAAGTCATTTTGATTACTCTCTCTTTACTCTAACTACTGAACCTGACATTACCATCATCCTTGTCTATGTTGATGACCTTTTGATCACTGGTTCTAATACTGATATTATTCAGTCTACGCGGGTCAAGATGAAACAACAATTTAAGATGAAAGATCTTGGACATTTGCGATTCTTTCTTGGTCTTGAATTTTCCAGAAATGCTTTTGGAATTTTGTTGAATCAACAGAAATATTCCATTGAATTGATTGCTGATTCAAGGCAAGGGGGAGCTAAACCTGCATCTACACCCCTTGATTTCAACCAAAAACATACTTCCTATGAGTTTGATGTGTCTACAGGATGCACAACTGATGACAAAATGCTGGAAGACCCAGGTGGCTATCAAAGATTGGTAGGCAGACTATTATATCTCACCATGACTAGACCTGACATTTCATTCGTTGTCCAGGCTCTAAGTCAATTCATGCACAAACCTAAGGAATCACATATGCATGCTGCGATCAGAGTCATAAGATATATCAAGAATGCTCCAGGTCTTAGCCTGCATATGTCCTCAACAACATCTTCTCATCTATTTGCATATTGCGACTCTGACTGGGCCACATGTCCAAAAATCAGAAAATCTGTTACAGGTTATATGGTTGGATTTGGAACTTCTTTGATTTCATGGAAATTAAAGAAGCAAGAGACAATTTCCAGAAGTTCTGTAGAGGCAGAGTTCAGAAGCATGGCATCGACAGTGGCAGAGTTGTCTTGGCTAACATGACTTTTCAAAGAATTAGGAGTTTCAATTACACAACCCATTGATTTACATTGTGACAGCAAAGCTGCCATACAAATAGCAGCAAACCCAATATTTAATTAAGTATCCTATTACTTGTATCTACATGAGATCTAAGTAATGTGGAACTGTGGAAGGAATCCATTCATCACCGTTTATGAAATTTCTAACTGTGAAATTTGATACAATTCTGGGATCATTAGTAGTTGATGCCCACTTGACACGTCTCTTTGTATCTGCACCAACTCCTTTATTCTGATATTCCAAATAGTATGGCTGAACTATAGGCATATTTCCAAATTCTATCCACCCTTTGTGATCTACGAATATATCTATGTAACTCTGCATAATGACCGTACGTGAAAAATTTCCCCATGGCCGACCTAAGTACATAGCTACATTATCTCCTGCGTCTGGAGTTGCCAATTTCAACGTGCAATTCTGCAATACGAGTCCTGTTTGACCATTATTGTTTCTCTGTTGTGCTGTGATGACGACATATTGACCTTTTAGTGGCTTACGTATTTCAATCAAACAACTTTGAAACACTGCAGTTGCATCACCACAAATGAAATCGATGGTGCCCAAAATTACACATTCTCTGTAGAACTGTTTGCCATTGTGTGTATATACGGTGTCTTGAAAACTATCAAACTGACACCTATAGAAGGTGATGCACTCGGCAGATGCCCTTAAAGCTACCGCTTGATAGTTCACAGCTCCAGCCGTGTTCCGAAATGCAATGTCTTGCGCAATGAAGCCTCTTCCATCCACCCCTTTAAAAAAAACATCATGTCGATGATATAATATACATATACTTCTACCATTAATTTGAGCTATTTATGTGAGATCATCTTACCCACGGTAGCAGTATCGTACGTTCCTATTCCACCTCCATAACTCTTATTTCCTGTTATTATTGTTCTGTCCATTCCTTCTCCAAGAAAAACAATGTTGGTTTTCCACGAGTCGATTTGGACATATTCTTCATAAATTCCTTGTTTGATTTGAATATAGTATAGTGAAATACTATTATTCGGACACGCAAATAAAGCAGCCATTATACTACTATAATTCCCGGACCCATCCTTTGCTACTATAACATATGGAGGATGTGAAATATTTTGACATCCGACGTATTCTAATATAGATAGTAAAAAAATAACGATAATCGAAAAAAAACTGAATAAACGTAAAATGTCGAAAACTTGATTATCTTCGAGTTGACTCATTTTTTTAAAGCAAGAAATGTAGAAAATGATATATGCATAATTGTGTTATGCATGCATTTCAACTATCAAGATTGTCATGTATATATAATTTTTGGAGGAAGAAATTATGAAAAGCTAAATGAGATATTGTCTAGTACTACTAAATTGAACCAATTTGATTAGTTGAAACTTTTACACTCAATAGCTTAATTTAAATCAATAAATTTAAATTACTACATAAAGAAAAACAAAATCACAACAAATTTAAGTGACAAAATAAAGTTAAATACTAACATTGCAATATTAAGGAGTAATATAACTACCACTCAACTTATTGCAAAAAGGTATATAAATATGAAAAGTGGGATATACAAATATTCTGTTGTGTTTAGATTATAAAGAATGTATGCTTCTTTTTGAGTTTTAATTCAATATTCATGTTAGAATTTAATTTAATTTATATTTATATACCATAAAACTCATTTTTTAAAAAAAGTGCTTCCCATAAAATTGTTTTCATGGCATGCGATTTCTTAAATGAACTCTTATCATAGATAATTTTTTTAAAAAAATAAATATTAATCAGTTATATCTGTTTATTTTAAGTTTTAAAGTTATATTTGGTTAAATTTAATGTAATAGTATAAGTGGGATTGATTATGAATATATTTTAATGTTAAGGCCATTAATTTTTTATTATATGTGTCTTCAATACTAATTTTGCTTTATTTGTATCAACAACAAATTAAATTTGAGTTTTTAATACTCATTTTGCTTTATCTAGCTTAACAAACTCAAAATACTAATTTTAAACCATACACAAATACATTCTCTACTACTATTTCTTAATAATAATCAAACAAACAAATAGAATAAAAAGATATTAAAAGTAAATGTAACATCATTCTATTAAAATTTAATCATAACAAGTTAATATATATTATATACATTTTAATTTAATTAGATTAGAAGCCTCGATTCTTATTAAATTAAAATGTATATGTGTGTGTATATATATATATATATATATAAATATATATAATATTTAACTTGTTCTTAGTAAATTTTAATCGAATGAAGTTACATTTACTCAATATTTTTTTTCCTATTTATTTGTTTGTTTATTATTAAGAAATAATAGAAGAGAATTGTAGTTGTGTATAGGTGTTTATTGATTATTTTAATTGATAATTTTTTTATGTATGAATAGTATATGAGTTATGTATTAATCGTGTATGAAGTGAATTTACAATGTTATATGCGAACACTTTTAATTTTTGTAAAAATCTAATATGTATTAATTTGAATTATGTATGAACTGATGTATTTATTTTGTAAGAATTGTGTATTAATTGTATTGACTGTTCTCTAATATGGCAGTGTATCTATGATTTTTCTATGAAATTATATATTATATGAAAGATGTATGAACTGATGCATTCATTTTGTATGATATGTGTATGAATTGCATTGAAAGTACATTAATATAGCAGTATATTTATAATTTTTTTTATGAATTATAAATTAAGTTAAAAGTACTAACTTAGTTTTACCAATTTTATAGGAGAAGAAGGAACAGACACATTTGTCTTCATGTATCAACATGAATGTGTTTGATGATCTATTGACTTTCCTCGGTCAAGACAAGTTCCAACAATTTTTACAGGAAATGCCTTTTGTTTTCATGATTTACACAATATTAAAATCCAATGTTAGTTGTTACGCCATATTTTTCTGCTTGAAAGTGAAAATGACAGAGATGACATGTTTTTCATAAACGCAAATAGTACAGATAAGACTGGTCAATGGACCGGAACCGGTTCACCAGACCGGAATGAATCGATACCGGACCGGACCGGAACCCGTTGACCGGTATTGTCACGATCCAAAATGAGCCGCGAGTGGCACCCACACTTATCCTACTATGTGAGCGAACCAACCAATCTGAACCCCAACATTTTCAACCATAATAAACAGAAAATAATGCGGAAGACTTAAAACTCATTAGCAAAATCAATTAATAACTTCTAAAATTTATCAATTACTATCCCCAAAATCTGGAAGTCATCACCACAAGAACATTCTATCCTCAAATTACTAATCTAAGAGTATCTAGGAAGCTAAAATAAGTAAACAAATGGTCCATGTCCGAACTTCAAGGACATCAAGACATGAATGAGAGAGAATCCAGTCCGAGCTAGGAACAATAGCTCACCCTGAAATTTGATTATGCTGAAGTCTGGCTAGAGTTGCGGTTGAGTCGAAGTTGATGGCACGTTTGCTGCACTCCATAAATAACAAAGAAGAAAATTACAAGTAGGGGTCAGTACAAGGCACAAGTACTGAGTAGATATCATCGGCCAACTCAAAATAGAAAGCAATACATATCAAATAATAACATAAAACCAACCAAATACTTAACAGGTGACAACAACAAGTACCATAACCATTGTCCACAACACCAAGCACATCTATGAGGACTCAAGCCTCCACACCATACTCATTTGGGAAACAGGTTCTTTAAATCTGAGTATATTAGCGTAATTCAAGATTATTCTCTTTACTATACTGGTGTCGGAACGTGACACTCCGATCCCCTCAACATTCATTCATCTTACTATCCTGGTGTCGGAACGTGACACTCTAATCCCCTACTATCCTGGTGTTGGAACGTGATACTCTGATCCTCTACTATCCTGGTGTCGGAACGTGACACTCCGATCCTCTACTATCCTGGTGTCGAAATTTTTTTATCTATGAATAGTATATGAGTTATGTATTAATCGTGTATGAAGTGAATTTACAATGTTATATGCGAACACTTTTAATTTTTTTTAAAATCTAATATGTATTAGTTTGAATTATGTATGAACTAATGTATTTATTTTGTATGAATTGTGTATTAATTGGATTGACTGTTCTTTAATATGGCAGTGTATCTATGATTTTTCTATGAAATTATATATTATATGAAAGATGTATGAACTGATGCATTCATTTTGTATGATATGTGTATGAATTGCATTGAAAGTACATTAATATAGCAGTGCATTTATAATTTTTTTTATGAATTATAAATTAAGTTAAAAGTACTAATTTAGTTTTACCAATTTTATAGGAGAAGAAGGAACAAACACATTTGTCTTCATGTATCAACATGAATGTGTTTGATGATCTATTGACCTTCCTCGGTCAAGACTAGTTCCAACAATTTTTACAGGGAATACCTTTTGTTTTCATGATTTACACAATATTAAAATCCAATGTTAGTTGTTACGCCATATTTTCTGCTTGAAACTGAAAATGACAGAGATAACATGTTTGTCATAAACGTAAATGGTACAGAGTTAAGGTTTGGACTAAAAGAATTTCTGTAACCGGTCTGAAATCTGGATCAATTTCTGATTTTGTTTCAAATCACTCTGTTCCAAATAGAATTATTGCATTTATATTTTGTTCCATATTAAGTTGAGATATTATAGCATTAACAAAACCACTATAAAGAGTAGACGCTTCATATATGATGTCCTCCATCTGAAAATCGACATATTTACCTGTTTCACAACATTAAGATAACATTTAGTATAACATAATACATATAATTGCAAAATAATTCATACACATTTAAAATACATTTCAATGACCTATAAACTACTTAAATTAACTTTTAAAAGATTGTCCATTCATAAAATAAAATTGATAATAATTTCATACACAATTGTTATAACTTTCATCATCACAAGAAAATAATAACTAAACAAAAAAAATAAACAA